TAAGAAGAGAAGGGGGGGGCAGTGTCTAAGAAGAGAAGGGGGGGCAGTGTCTAAGAAGAGAAGGGGGGGGCAGTTGTCTAAGAAGAGAAGGGGGGGGGCAGTGTCTAAGAAGAGAAGGGGGGCAGTGTCTAAGAAGAGAAGGGGGGGGGGAGTGTCTAAGAAGAGAAGGGGGAGGGGCAGTGTCTAAGAAGAGAAGGGGGGGGCAGTTGTCTAAGAAGAGAAGGGGGGGGCAGTGTCTAAGAAGAGAAGGGGGGGGCAGTGTCTAAGAAGAGAAGGGGGGGGCAGTGTCTAAGAAGAGAAGGGGGGCAGTGTCTAAGAAGAGAAGGGGGGGCAGTGTCTAAGAAGAGAAGGGGGGGGCAGTGTCTAAGAAGAGAAGGGGGGGGCCGTGTCTAAGAAGAGAAGGGGGGGGCAGTGTCTAAGAAGAGAAGGGGGGGCAGTGTCTAAGAAGAGAAGGGGGGGGGGCAGTGTCTAAGAAGAGAAGGGGGGGCAGTGTCTAAGAAGAGAAGGGGGGGGGCAGTGTCTAAGAAGAGAAGGGGGGGGGCAGTGTCTAAGAAGAGAAGGGGGGGGCAGTGTCTAAGAAGAGAAGGGGGGGGGGCAGTGTCTAAGATTCTCCCCATCAGTATCCCGGCTCCCAGAGTTGGTATCACCCATCTGGCATCGCTGGGCATTACACTTGGACCAGGTCACATGCTGAGAACAGAAGAGAAGGGGGGGGGGGGCAGTGTCTAAGAAGAGAGGGGGGGGGCAGTGTCTAAGAAGAGAGGGGGGGGGCAGTGTCTAAGATTCTCCCCATCAGTATCCCGGCTCCCAGAGTTGGTATCGACCATCTGAACAACGGGGGGGGGGGGGGTAAATTTCGCGGCTACCCATTACCAACCCCCCCCTCTCAACACCTTCTCAAATGGTATCACCCAATCGGCACCGGCATGCATTGCGTTTGGAGCAGGTCACATGATAAGGAACGAGGGTTCATATTCTTAGCTAGATTTGAAGCTTTCGTGACTCCAAGGATTCATATTCATAGGTTTTTTCGGTAAAGTCACGTAGGTACAAGATTTAAATTAAAATTGGACATTTTTTGTTGCTATTTCATTTACACCTCATGATGATGGTGATTGCTTGTGTTGCAATCGAAACGTCGTGATTTTTATTTCATTTTACTTTTTTTAATTTTAATTTTTTAACCTACGTGACTTTACCGAAAAAAACATAAGAATATAGTTCATATTAATAGGTTTTTTCAGTAAAGTCACGTAGGTAAAAAATAAAAATTAATAAAAGTAAAAATAAAATAAAAATCACGACGTTTCGGAGGCAACACTAGCTTCCGTCTTCAGGTGGAACCGTCACAGCACGATAGCTGTATCAAGTATATACTTTTATTAATTTTAATTTTTTAACCTACGTGACTTTACCGAAAAAACCCAAGAATATGAATCCTTGCAGTCACGAAAGCTTCAAATCTAGAAGGAACGAGGGGTTGGGGTAAAATTCGCGGCTACCCAATACCACTACCCCCTCGCCCACCTCACCCCCTTCTCAAATGGTTTCGTCCAATTGCCACCAGCGCGGATGACCTCTGCACAAAACCACATGCTGAGAAGAGAAGGGGGCTGAACAGTATCTCCGATTCTCCACCACCTCAATCCCGGCTCTCACAGTTCGTATGGCCCATTTGACGTTTTCGTGCATCAGCTTTGGACCAAACCAAAAGCTGCGAAAAGGGGTCTTAGGGGGTGAAGTGTTTCAGATTCTCCCCCCTCGTACCCCGGCTCGCAGAGTTCGTATGGCCCATTTGGCATCTTCTTGGTTCTTTCGGTAAAGTCACGTAGAAGGGAAGTAATAAAATAATAAAAATAAAACATAATAAAATAAAATAATTCTCACGACGTTTCGGCTACAACGCAAACGTCGTGAGAATTATTTTATTTTATTATGTTTTATTTTTATTATTTTATTACTTCCCTTCTACGTGATTTTACCGAAAGAACCAAGAAGGTGAATCCCTGCAGTCACGAAAACCATTTGGCATCCTCATGCGTTACCTTTGGACGAAACCAAACGCTGCGACAAGAGGGTGTGGAGGGTGGGGTCTCAGATTCCCCCTCTCACCCATCCCACCCCCCCGTACTCCGGCTCCGACAATTGGTATCGTCCGTTTGGCTCAGGCCATGCCTTACCTTTGGACCAGATCATCGCATGCCGGCAGGGTGGCGAGGTTGGGTTGGTGAGCGGCTATAAACTTAAAGGCAGCCCAAGAATGTTTGCAAAAGCTTTCCAAATTGGCAGTAAAGGATTATGGAGAATAAAATCATTACAACACCACCACTGCCACCACCACCATCACAACAAACACTCGGTACCGTGATGACCTCACCGCCCTCAGCGGCGGTGAGGTCACCACGGCGCCTGTGCCAGGCTAGGTGCAGGAGGTCACGGGACAGACCCAGCAGGTGCCGTGGGTTGACTGCTGTGCCAGGCTAGGTGCAGGAGGACACGAGACAGACCCAGCAGGTGCCGTGGGTTGACTGCTGTGCCAGGCTAGGTGCAGGAGGAAGTCACGGGACAGACCCAGCAGGTGCCATGGGTTGACTGCTGTGCCAGGCTAGGTGCAGGAGGTCACGGGACAGACCCAGCAGGTGACGTGGGTTGACTGCTGTGCCAGGCTAGGTGCTGGAGGTCACGGGACAGACCCAGCAGGTGCCATGGGTTGACCGACTGAGATGACTATCGGTAGGTGCCACCACCAGCTGTACCCCCCCCCCTACTGTGCCAACTCGCTGCGTTTTATCCACCCGGCGCTCCGCTCGTTGTTGTGAGCGTCGCCCCTCCGCCCTCTGTTGTTGCTGGAGGGCGACTGCCTCCAACTGGCCAGTAGCGTCCTTCACGAGCCTCCTTCTCCACAGAGGCCGATCTTGACACCGCTGATGCGGCCACGCGCATGCCCGACCACACACGGCATGTCAGCCAATGCAGAGGCAGCGGTGGAAATTCCACGTTCCCGTGGCGGGCACGGGTAAGAGGCATTACGGCAGCATCCACAGGACAATCCCACTGCTGTTGTTAATCTTCAGGCTACAAAGTGGTACTGATTTTATCGACTCACTACCCCCCCCCCCCACCCACTGCTGTTGTTAATCTTTAGGCCACAAAGTGGTACTGATTTTATCGACCCACTACTCCCCACCCACTGCTGTTGTTAATCTTCAGGCCAACCACCACCTACAACCACCACCACCATCACCATCAACCACCACCTACAACCACCATCAGATGGTGGTGATGTTTGTGATGGTGGTGATGTGATGGTGGTGATGTTGTGATGGTGCTGGTGGTGATGGTGTCGTAATGATGGTGTTGGTGGTGACGCTGGTGGTGATGTTGGTGATGGTGTTGCTGATGTTGGTGATCGTTTTGGTGATGCTGGTGATGATGGTATTGTTGGTGATAGTTTTGGTGATGTTGGTGATGGTTTTGGTGATTATGGTGATGATGGTGATGGTTTTGGTGATGGTTTTGTTGGTGATGATGTTGGTGATGATGTTGGTGATGTTGGTGATGTCATGGTCGTGATGGTGGTGATGATGTTGGTGATGGTTTTGGTGATGGTTTTGGTGATGGTGGTGTTGGTGATGGTTTTGGTGATGGTGCTGTTGGTGATGTTAGTGATGATGTTGGTGATGATGTAGTTGGTGATGATATTGGTGATGATGTTGGTAATGTTGGTGATGATGTTGGTGATGATGTTGATGATGTTGGTGATGATGTTGGTGATGATGTTGATGATGTTGGTGGTGATGTAGTTGGTGATGATATTGGTGATGATGTTGGTAATGTTGGTGATGATGTTGGTGATGATGTTGATGATGTTGGTGATGATGTTGATGATGTTGGTGATGATGTTGGTGGTGTTGGTGATGATGTTGGTGGTGATGTAGTTGGTGATAATGTTGGTGATGATGTTGGTGGTGATGTTGCTGCCGATGATGATGGTGATGATGTTGATGATGTTGGTGATGATGTTGATGATGTTGGTGATGATGTTGGTGGTGTTGGTGATGATGTTGGTGGTGATGTAGTTGGTGATAATGTTGGTGATGATGTTGGTGGTGATGTTGCTGATGATGTTGGTGGTGATGTTGGTGATGTTGGTGATAATGTTGGTGATGATGTTGGTGATGATGTCGGTGATGGTTTTGGTGATGTTGGTGATGTTGGTGATCATGTCGGTGATGGTTTTGGTGATGTTGTTGATGATGTCGGTGATGGTTTTGGTGATGTTGTTGATGTCCTTCAACGCGCAACCTTCACAGCTGACGCCGCGCTCCACGGCGCAGAACGGCACGGAGTGATGGGGGCCATGGGGGAACCACGTGGGGCCATGGGGGGACCACGTGGGTCGTGAGGGGCCACGTGGGGCCGTGGGGGAACCACGTGGGGTCGTGGGGAAGCCACGTGGGGCCCCCACGCGTCACCACCATCACGGGGCGGACACTCCAAGGAGACACGCGGAGACACGCGGAGACACGGGAACATACTCTAACCCCACCATCACCACTGTCTCCTGCACCATCATCACCATCATCACCACTGTAACTGTCACCACCACCACCATCAGCATCACCTGCACCACCACCGTCACCACAACCACCATCACCACTCCCACCATCACCATCACCACTGTCACCACCACCACCATCACCACCATCATCATCACCATCATCATCACCTGCACCACCACCATCACCACTCCCACCATCACCATCACCACTGTCACTACCACCACCATCACCACCATCATCACCACCTGCACCACCACTATCACCACCCTCAACATCATCATCACCACCATCACCGCTGTTACCATCACCACCACCATCATCACCACCACTACCACCATCGCTTTCACCATCATCATCATCATCACCATCACCACCCCCACCATCACCACCACCCCCACCCCCACCACCATCACCCCCACCACCACCACCACCACCGCCATGCAGAGAGACCTCGCCGGCACGCTGATCGCCATCAGCGGCTGGGCGTGCATTGGCACCACGATCACCAACGACTTCTGGAAGACGTCGACGGTTGCGGGCAGCGTGGTGACGGCCAACACCGTCTACGAGAACCTGTGGACCTCGTGCGGCACAGACTCGATGGGCGTCTCCAACTGTAGGGACTTCGACTCCTTGCTCAACCTGCCCGGTCCGGCGGAAATCCTCTAACACCACCAGCAGCAGCAGCAGTACAACTACCACCACTAACAGCACTACTACCACCACTAACATCACTACTACCACCACTGCCACCACCACTGCCACCGCAACCATTACTACCACGACTACCACCACCACTACTACCACAAGCACCACCACCACTACCTTCACCACCACTAACACCACTACTACCACCACTGCCACCAGCACCACCACTGCCACCACCACCACTAATACCACCACTACCAGCACTACCACCACCACCATTACTACCACTATACTACCACCACCACTACTACAACAAGCACCACCACCACTACCACCACTGCCACCAGCACCACTACTGCCACCAGCACCACCACTACCACCACCACTGCCACCACTACCACCACAACCAGCACCACCACTACCACCAGCACTACCACTACCACCGCCACCATTATTACCACCACTACCACCAACACTACTACCACCAGCACCACCACCACCACTACCACCATCACAACTACCACAAGCAACACCACCACTATTACCACAACTACCACCACTACTACCACCACTACCATTACTATCACCACCACCATTACTACCACCACTAGCACCTCTACCACCACAACTACCACCACCACCACAACCACTACCACCAGTACCACCACTGCCTCCACCACCACCACTACTACCACCACCATTACTACCACCACTACCACCACCACTACTGCCACAAGCACAACCACCACTACCACTACCACCACTAGTACCACCACTACCAGCACTACCACCACCATCATTACGACCACTACTACCACCACCACTACTACCACAAGCACCACCACCACTACCACCTCTACTACTACCACCACTACCACCACCATTACTACCACCACTACCACCACCACCACCACAACCACCACCACCAGCACCACCAGCACTACCACCTCTATTACCACCACTACTACCACCACTACAACCACCACCACAACCACCACCAAGAGCACCACCAGAACTACCACCTCTATTACCACATCCACCACCAGCACCACCACCATTACCACCAGCACCACCACCAGCACCACAACCACCACCACCACAACTACCACAACTACTACCGCTACCACCACCACAGCCACTACTACCACCACTACCACCTCCACCACAACCACCACCACTACCACCACCACCACTACCACCACCACCAGCACCACCACTACTACCACCACTACTACCACCACCACTACCACCACCGCTACGATGTTCACGATTTTGTTTTCGATACGAACAAACACTGAAGTTGGTGACGATCCTAAGACAACGTTCATCAGCTCGGGGCGAGTTGAGTTCTATAGGTGAGCGAGTCGCTAGTTCTATAGGTGAGTGAGTCGCTAGTTCTATAGGTGAGTGAGTCGCTAGTTCTATAGGTGAGCGAGTCGCTAGTTCTATAGGTGAGTGAGTCGCTAGTTCTATAGGTGAGTGAGTCGCTAGTTCTATAGGTGAGTGAGTCGCTAGTTCTATAGGTGAGCGAGTCGCTAGTTCTATAGGTGAGTGAGTCGCTAGTTCTATAGGTGAGTCGCTAGTTCTATAGGTGAGCGAGTCGCTAGTTCTATAGGTGAGCGAGTCGCTAGTTCTATAGGTGAGTGAGTCGCTAGTTCTATAGGTGAGCGAGTCGCTAGTTCTATAGGTGAGTGAGTCGCTAGTTCTATAGGTGAGCGAGTCGCTAGTTCTATAGGTGAGTGAGTCGCTAGTTCTATAGGTGAGCGAGTCGCTAGTTCTACAGGTGAGTGAGTCGCTAGTTCTATAGGTGAGCGAGTCACTAGTTCTACAGGTGAGTGAGTCGCTAGTTCTATAGGTGAGTGCGTCGCTAGTTCTACAGGTGAGTGAGTCGCTAGTTCTATAGGTGAGTGAGTCGCTAGTTCTATAGGTGAGTTAGTCGCTAGTTCTACAGGTGAGTGAGTCGCTAGTTCTATAGGTGAGTGAGTCGCTAGTTCTATAGGTGAGTGAGTCGCTAGTTCTATAGGTGAGTGAGTCACTAGTTCTACAGGTGAGTGAGTCACTAGTTCTATAGGTGAGCGAGTCACTAGTTCTACAGGTGAGCGAGTCGCTAGTTCTATAGGTGAGTGAGTCGCTAGTTCTATAGGAGAGTGAGTCGCTAGTTGTGTGGGTGAGCGAGTCGCTAGTTCTATAGGTGAGTGAGTCGCTAGTTCTATAGGTGAGCGAGTCGTTAGTTCTATAAGTGAGTGAGTCGCTAGTTCTATAGGTGAGTGAGTCGCTAGTTCTATAGGTGAGTGAGTCACTAGTTCTATAGGTGAGTGAGTCGCTAGTTCTATAGGTGAGCGAGTCGTTAGTGCTATAGGTGAGTGAGTCGCTAGTTCTATAGGTGAGTGAGTCGCTAGTTCTACAGGTGAGTGAGTCGCTAGTTCTATAGGTGAGCGAGTCGCTAGTTCTATAGGTGAGTGAGTCGCTAGTTCTATAGGTGAGTGAGTCGCTAGTTCTATAGGTGAGCGAGTCGCTAGTTCTATAGGTGAGTCGTTAGTTCTATAGGTGAGCGAGTCGCTAGTTCTATAGGTGAGTGAGTCGCTAGTTCTATAGGTGAGTGAGTCGCTAGTTCTATAGGTGAGCGAGTCGCTAGTTCTATAGGTGAGTGAGTCGCTAGTTCTACAGGTGAGCGAGTCGCTAGTTCTATAGGTGAGTGAGTCGCTAGTTCTATAGGTGAGTGAGTCGCTAGTTCTATAGGTTAGTGAGTCGCTAGTTTTATAGGTGAGTGAGTCACTAGTTGTGTGATTGAGCGAGTCGCTAGTTCTATAGGTGAGTGAGTCGCTAGTTCTATAGGTGAGTGAGTCGCTAGTTCTATAGGTGAGTGAGTCGCTAGTTCTATAGGTGAGTGAGTCGCTAGTTATATAGGTGAGTGAGTCACTAGTTCTATAGGTGAGTGAGTCGCTAGTTCTATAGGTGAGCGAGTCGCTAGTTCTATAGGTGAGTGAGTCGCTAGTTCTATAGGTGAGTGAGTCGCTAGTTCTATAGGTGAGCGAGTCGCTAGTTCTATAGGTGAGTGAGTCGCTAGTTCTACAGGTGAGCGAGTCGCTAGTTCTATAGGTGAGTGAGTCGCTAGTTCTATAGGTGAGTGAGTCGCTAGTTCTATAGGTGAGCGAGTCGCTAGTTCTATAGGTGAGTGAGTCGCTAGTTCTATAGGTGAGCGAGTCGTTAGTTCTATAGGTGAGTGAGTCGCTAGTTCTATAGGTGAGTGAGTCGCTAGTTCTATAGGTGAGTGAGTCGCTAGTTCTATAGGTGAGTGAGTCGCTAGTTCTATAGGTGAGCGAGTCGCTAGTTCTATAGGTGAGTGAGTCGCTAGTTCTACAGGTGAGTGAGTCGCTAGTTCTATAGGTTAGTGAGTCGCTAGTTCTATAGGTTAGTGAGTCGCTAGTTCTACAGGTGAGCGAGTCGCTAGTTCTACAGGTGAGTGAGTCGCTAGTTCTACAGGTGAGTGAGTCGCTAGTTCTATAGGTGAGCGAGTCGCTAGTTCTATAGGTGAGTGAGTCGCTAGTTCTATAGGTGAGCGAGTCGCTAGTTCTATAGGTGAGTGAGTCGCTAGTTCTATAGGTGAGTGAGTCGCTAGTTCTATAGGTGAGCGAGTCGCTAGTTCTATAGGTGAGCGAGTCGCTAGTTCTATAGGTGAGTGAGTCGCTAGTTCTATAGGTGAGCGAGTTGCTAGTTCTATAGGTGAGTGAGTCGCTAGTTCTATAGGTGAGCGAGTCGCTAGTTCTATAGGTGAGCGAGTCACTAGTTCTATAGGTGATTGAGTCGCTAGTTCTATAGGTGAGCGAGTCGCTAGTTCTATAGGTGAGTGAGTCGTTAGTTCTATAGGTGAGCGAGTCGCTAGTTCTATAGGTGAGTGAGTCGCTAGTTCTATAGGTGAGTGAGTCGCTAGTTCTATAGGTGAGCGAGTCGCTAGTTCTATAGGTGAGTGAGTCGCTAGTTCTACAGGTGAGCGAGTCGCTAGTTCTATAGGTGAGTGAGTCGCTAGTTCTATAGGTGAGTGAGTCGCTAGTTCTATAGGTGAGCGAGTCGCTAGTTCTATAGGTGAGCGAGTCGCTAGTTCTATAGGTGAGTGAGTCGCTAGTTCTATAGGTTAGTGAGTCGCTAGTTCTATAGGTTAGTGAGTCGCTAGTTCTACAGGTGAGCGAGTCGCTAGTTCTACAGGTGAGTGAGTCGCTAGTTCTACAGGTGAGTGAGTCGCTAGTTCTATAGGTGAGCGAGTCGCTAGTTCTATAGGTGAGTGAGTCGCTAGTTCTATAGGTGAGCGAGTCGCTAGTTCTATAGGTGAGTGAGTCGCTAGTTCTATAGGTGAGTGATTCGCTAGTTCTATAGGTGAGTGAGTCGCTAGTTCTATAGGTGAGCGAGTCACTAGTTCTATAGGTGAGCGAGTCGCTAGTTCTATAGGTGAGTGAGTCGCTAGTTCTATAGGTTAGTGAGTCGCTAGTTCTATAGGTTAGTGAGTCGCTAGTTCTACAGGTGAGCGAGTCGCTAGTTCTATAGGTGAGTGAGTCGCTAGTTCTACAGGTGAGTGAGTCGCTAATTCTATAGGTTAGTGAGTCGCTAGTTCTACAGGTGAGCGAGTCGCTAGTTCTACAGGTGAGTGAGTCGCTAGTTCTACAGGTGAGTGAGTCGCTAGTTCTATAGGTGAGCGAGTCGCTAGTTCTATCGGTGAGTGAGTCACTAGTTCTATAGGTGAGCGAGTCGCTAGTTCTATAGGTGAGCGAGTCGCTAGTTCTATAGGTGAGTGATTCGCTAGTTCTATAGGTGAGTGAGTCGCTAGTTCTATAGGTGAGCGAGTCACTAGTTCTATAGGTGAGCGAGTCGCTAGTTCTATAGGTGAGTGAGTCGCTAGTTCTATAGGTTAGTGAGTCGCTAGTTCTATAGGTTAGTGAGTCGCTAGTTCTACAGGTGAGCGAGTCGCTAGTTCTACAGGTGAGTGAGTCGCTAGTTCTACAGGTGAGT